CATTATAGCATTAATTGAACCATAACGCATAGGTTGCCATTTGATTTTATCATATGATAAAGTAAATGTACCAATAGCCAAGAACGTTAAATTGACTAACATAGCGGGTATACTAAATATTTCGTCACCACGTATTGCTTCGGATACTTTAATACCTAAAAATGACCATAATGTAGCTAAGCAAGCACCGAAAATTCCCCAGCCAGCACTCTATATTATAATATTATTGGACAAAATTATTTTATGAAAAATATAATTGAAAAAAAAATTAATAATAATTGAAATAATAATGATTGTTAATTTTATTTACCTCCCATAAGGAACCAAATGTTCTTGAAGGTTGAAAGTAGCAAACCATCACGACTGCCAAAAAGGTATAAGGGCCTAATTCCTGCATTGCAGGGACAATAAGGTCAATAACGAAGGCAAGCCAGTAAGCAACAGCAGCCTTAAGAACCTGCTTTGCCATAGGCCATGTTGCTTTTGCCGATATACCAACAAAGATAGGTTTAAGTAATTTATACCAGATATCCGAACATCTTGGCATTCGTTTAGGTGCTGGTTCTTTTGGTGGAATATTGTTGTTTTCATCAATGTATCCTTTTTTTAATGTTTCTTGGTAAAGATCCGAATTTAGAACCTCTTTAACAGCTTTGGATAGTTCATTGTTATTGTCTGCTGTCAAGGTTAGTTCGTTATCATATTCCTCTGATTCAAATTCTTCTGCTACTGTTTCAATAGATAGTGAAGAATTTGAACTTGTTGGATAAAATCTATTTTCTAAATTATTCGCCATTGTTAGATTTTATTAATGTAATATAATCCTTTTTGTTTCTAGTTATTTTTGGTTTTTTTTGGTTTTTTTTTTTTTTTTTCTTCTCGTATGCTTTAATGAGAGGAAAAAAGGAGTAAAGATTTAAGATTTTAAATAGCGGCATTTTACAGATAATTGAGCCTGCGGATCCGAAGCGGCGGTTCACATGTGATACAGTTAGTAAACAAATCGGGATCAACACAACACCATTCTTTGATATTATCGTTATCGATAGTACGTTAACGTACGTATATAATAACAGATAGATAAATAAATAAATAAATAAGTAAATAAATAATATATATTTTTGCAGTATTGCTAAAACTGTAAGAGAGATAAAAAACTTATGCGCGTATGCTGTTTAGGGTTTCACAATTATGACAGATTTAGATGATCGCTTTTGTTAAAATTGAGCAACAACCATTTTCATTATTGGGCTGAGACTGCGTCTTTTAACCTTTTAAATTCTCAAATCTGTCCTTTTCCTTATTTATACTAGTAAAAATTCCAAGAGTCAAACAAGTATTAAATAAAAGTTAGATAATTTTTTGCAAATTACAAAGTCTGTTACAAAGGGTGTATTGTTAATAATACTTTTTAGAGGCGTCAATTTACAAAAGTATTTATTGTTGTTTACTTATGCGTGGAAAGACCAAATAGAAAATAGGTCCTTACATGCATGTATCTCTATCTATCAAATCTCTGAATCTCTGAATCACTAAAATCAAAAGCTTATAATTGTTCAAAAAAATCTAATTCTAAAAAAATACTTATTTCTCAACAATTTTAAAGACCTCAATTTCTTCAATACTAAAATTATTCGTATCTAAAATACTATCTTCATATGAATACTTATTGCACGCCCCATTATTATTGTTCAAAACTAAATCACTTTGTCCAAAGTGAGCTCCATTATTTGCATAATCATAAACTGCATGTTGATGATTACTAACCCGACTAATCTTATAATCATCACTTGATTTACCATTACCGAAAGAAAAAATAAAACTATCAAATGTATTTGCCCATGTAGGAAAACTTCTATAAATCCAACCGCATGGATTATAACCACCAATTATTTGTCCTGAACCTTTTACTTTGACAATAACAACTGCTGATCCTTGATTATTGGCATAACTACGAAATACTCCATTATTAAATCCATGAAGACTTCCACGATAGAGAAGTGTAAATTCATAAGGAATCAGTGATGTTACGCATAACTTTCCATCAACTCGATTGATCCAATTTGCAATAATTACCGCATGTTTTGGTTTAATTATCACTGAATCAATTCTCCAACGTCCCATCCGAGGAGATAAATTGACTGTTCTTGGTTCTGTATCGGCTAGATAATGAGACATAAGATCTTCGTATATATTTTGAGGAAGTATTTTCTTGTATGGTCGAACTTTATAATAAAAATCTTTGGATGAAATTTCGAAAAGTCGGATAAGTGGAATAAACTGTTCAACTGATGTCTTCAAGGCAATAAAATGTTTTTCTGTCCATTTAGTAACATCATTAGGAATCTTTGTGTCATTTGTATTGATGTTTTGTGCAATTCCCCATTTAATTAGGTGTTCCCAAACTTCTATTTCATCTATTTCTAAATCTTCTCGTTCTAGAAGTCCATAAAGAATATCTCTATCCAAAGTTGAAAAATTCTTGGATGAAAAAAATGGATGTGGATCTTGACAAATAGATTTTAAACAATGATCTTGAAGGTTTTTACAACTTTCAAGTTTAATCACGGTTTGCAATACTTGCACAAAATTTAACCTCAACCAATTGGCTTTTTCTTCGATTAAATGTTCTTGACAGTGAACAATTAATTCATCAAGGAGTAACTCGTCAGATGCAACCAAAAGACCAAGAATATCCGATCCTGATTGTTTATCCAAGTCAAGAATCCCTGCATAAATATATCTATTTTAATATTGGTTTTAAAAATTCAGATTCTCTTAATTAATACTATCCTTTTTTTTTTTTTTAATTCTAAATTGTGTCTAACATTTCTAATTATTTTATTATACGTATGTATAATTTTAATGCTAATTTAGAAAAAAACACATACTTGAGCATCATTGCAAACACCATTGGCGACACATTGGGTTTATTAAAGATAATATTATTATCTTTTTTTATAACCCAATCACTTGAAAGTGCTCTCTTGAAATATGGTGACCTTGCCATCAAAATATTCGAATGGGCTCGAAACTCTTTAACATTCGAACCTTCTCCAACTTGGATAGTAACATTATAATCGTTTGCATTATCAAGAAGTTGTGAAAGATCTTGCGATAAATTTGAAAAAAATTGGGATGGCATAATCGAATTCGTTTTCTTTTTTTTTCTTTAATTAATTGATGAAATCGTTCAAATTTTTAAGAGGAACAATATTTATGCAAACATTGCGTGGTATTTCTATTTATATATAAGCATGATAGATTAATTTTCATGTGAACTGTCACATGATTCAGCATTCTTGATTCTTACGAGTGGTAGATGGCCTGCATTAATGGGATGTACGCCTGCAGATTTTCTAACTTTTAATTCCAGCCGAGCATTAAAGACATCATTTTTATTCACTGATAAAGGAAATATTAATTGGCTTTATTATTGATAAAATCATCTCGTGTGTATTGTTTTTATTCAATAATGATACAATTCGAATTCTAGAATTGTCATGGTGTGAATTATACATATACAATACAATGCGTTGCGTGCGTTAACGTTGCCGGAAATTAAAAAACTTAATATGTATAAATGTATATTTATTTTATTAAGAAAATACTTAATTGAAATTTTTTGAATAAGCAATTTCGATAAGTATTTGTTACATAAAATTCGTATTAATATCAAAAATGCTAATTTGATTATTTGATTTTTTTACTATTCTAAATTTAAATTCCTAGATTCCTAGTGAAAAGTTCTGATAGTTCAAGTTTCAGTGAAGCAAAAACATCGTTTTTGACCGTTTGACCCATTTTTTATTATTAGTTTAACTTTGAAACATTGTTGTTGTAATATTGTATGTATTTATTGTGATTTAACAATTGTATGGATCTCTATGAACTCTTTTACGATACATAGTTCATTATTTTTTTTTAAGAGCAAAAAAGGTTCACATTATCATTTTTGCCTTTTTTACAATATTAATCATTACATCATTTTCATTTCACATTCGAATCTAACTTATACAGGCTTTAACGTT